TTCATTGAATACTTTCATGGAGTAAAGTAATACAATATGCCTCGTACATATTCTAATAGTGAATATGCTGATATGATATATCTATCATTTTGAACAAAATATTTAATAATTATCAATTTTGGTTACTGTAAAGCAATAAAAAAAGCAATAAAAAAGATAAACCTAAATTATTTTGATATTATTCGATTTCATTCCTATGGTTCTGTAACTTAATAAATCGATATCTCTTGAACGAAGTGTTTGCGAGCAAACTTCCAAAGGAAATTTTTGCTTGTTTTGAGGTCCCAAATTTATATTTTAAGTTTGGCCATTTAACCCTATATATATATATATATATATATATATATATATATATATGTATACGAAATTACTATGCTATCAAGGTCATGAATAGCACAATGAATAAGTTTAGGTCAATCAATTCTCATTTATTTGTTAATAACTTTTGAATAAAAAACGACTGCCTGCTAAAACCTTCAGAATGTTAATCAGGGATAACATCTTGACAACATACATTAATGACACATTTGTACGAAGGTGAGCTCTTTTTATGCATAATTATCACACGCACACACACACGGTCTAGCTATAAAGTTTTAGGACTAATTTTACAAAACGTGCCCAAACAGTGCTACCTATCTTTCATCACTTGAAATCTCTTATATTAATTTTTAACTATGCCTCTATTAAGTTTCATCAGTATTGGTTCGGTGTAATTCATATTCAAACTATTTTGCGTGACATGTTTTGTCTTGTCATGAAAGCATTTATTCAAGCAACGGAATATAATGAAGTTTTACGTAAAATTGAATAAAATTACTATAGAAACAAATAAAATGACAAAAAAGTGTAGAATGGATTGGAAAAAATTCACTAAGAGCGAAGATACTCCGATTCTAAAATTCTAGAATGAAAACATTGCTTATTGCTTTCTCTGATGTGAAAGGCATGATTAATAAAGAATTTGTTCCACAAGGGGCAACTATTAATTGAATTTTAAAAACCGTCATGGAAAAATTGCTTACAAGAATCAGTCGCATGCGACCTGAGATGAAAAGGAATGGTGATTGATTTCTGCTCATGACAATACTTGACGCATAATGTTGCAATTATTTGTTAGCGTCTAAAAACGTGATTGTACTTTATCATCCCCTGCCTATTCTCCTAATTTAGCAACGGCTGATTATTTTTCCCCCCCAAACTTAAATTAAGATCAGAAGGAAGCCGATTTGATTATTTAAAGCAAATTCGAAATAACGTTACAAGACAATTAAACAGCCTTTCCCAGATCTGGATTTTCAAAACGCCTTATACAAGCTGAAAAAGTGTGCTAAGTTCTGTGCGGAATTAGAAAAAATATAAATTGAAAAATAAATGATGATATTGAAGATATAACGACTCCTTTATTTTTGACAGAGATAGTCCTAAAATTTTATAATCAACAATATATATATATATCATACATCATCAGTCAATCATATAGAATATGTTGACCTTCAAATGAATTATAAAAATCTCGTTTAGAGAAAAAAGTTATTTATTATATTTATTGTATATTTTAGTACAAAGATGTACCTTCTATAAAAAAAGGTATATTTTTGTATTAAAATATGCAATAAAAACAATAAATAATTTCTTTCTGTAAATGGGATTTTTGTGATCCAAAATGATTTGAAGATCAACATAATCTATGTGGTTGAATTTGTTTTTTTATAAGTTACATCAGTGCGTTAATAAAAATATGCCATTTTATTTAAAAAATGTCGATGACTTTAAAATCTCGTAAAGAGTAACAGTAAAAAAATTTTTTTGTTTATCAGAATACTAACTCTTTTGAGTCGAACAATTTTTGTCCTCTTAATCTTGATCGTATCATCAAAGGAAACAGAAAAATATTCTAATTACTCTTTAGTTAGAAGAAACACCCAAGGTGTGCGTGTGCGTGTGCGTGTGCGTGTGCATGTGTGTGTATGTGTGTGTGTATTATCTGTTTAATTATCTCCGAATATCGAAACTATATAAAGCGTATTATTGTAACTCAGCGTGGAATGAACATTAATCAATAAAACATTCTAAGTGCGTATTAATTAGCAATTCGCGGCGATAATATGCGGCCGCGTAAAAGTTGACAGTTGTATCGTCACCAATCGAAACGAGTTTAAAGAACATTTTATCTCATCGGTCGTTATCACACTGGTACGAAACAAATGGATCACCGTCGTAGCCAGAGAGAAAGAGGAAAGAGAAAGAGAGAGAGAGAGAGGAAGAAAGAGAGAGAGAGAAAGAGAGGAAGAGAAGGGAATATATATCGGATAACAAATAATCATGCGGCGCCGTTATTCGACCGAATCACGGATTAAAGAGCGAAATATTCAATTACGACTTGGCGGTCGATAATAACTGATGCACGATACCACAACCCGCGGTCGCGGCAGCAGAATTTCCACTACAGTGCAATATACATATTTTTCTGGCGTTGTGACTTGTACAGATATGTATTTACATTTTTGATGCTACCTGCTGGGAAAAATAGTTCCTATATTTCTATGGAATTATAATTTTTTTAGATACAAACTTGTTTGACTATTGCGAGAAGTTAAATTCTTCGAAATAGTACTAGTCTCTGATGCACATTACTGTAACTTGTGTGAAGTTAGCCCTGCATTTTCATGTTTTTATTAATTATGTTGCATTGTGCTACGTTTGTGCTGATTTGTGCCGCAAATCGTAGCTTAATAATTTAAACTATTTTTTAAAAAAATGAAATTTGTGGCAACTCTGCATTTTTAAAATTTTGAATTTTTATTGAAATTTGCTGTATTGCGCTACATTTATGCTTATTTGTGCCGCAAACCACATTTCAATAACTTGAAATTACCATATTCGAGAAAATTACACCAAAGGTAATTTTTATAATATAAATAAGATGAGATATCTCATGTTATAAATGGTCAAAGATAAATGAAAACAATAATACTTCTTTCTATTCCAAATCGAAATTTAATGATCTGATGACATTTTTATTAGGAAAAGTTGTATTCATTGTTGTATTCGAGCAGTCTAGCACAACCTGACACAAGAGGAAAAAAATAAAAAATATTAAATATTTTTCATCTCCACCCCTTTCTAATATATATTCAATCAATCCCTGAGATTGATGATGCATCTTTTGCCTATTATTTCTTCGTTTTTGATAGCACAACTTAGCATAATTTATAGAATCAGACTATCTATTATGGTTTTAAAGATACAAGAATGTAAAGTTTTGTATTCCTAAAAAACTATTCCTAATTTCTGTTGCACATCAAAAACTAACATTCTGATGGCATTTTGTCATTAGGAATAGTTATTGTACTCATTTAGCACATTTGGACATAAGAGAAAAATTAAAAAAATATTAAATTTTTTTCATTTATATCCCTTTTTAATAAATATTTAATCAAACTTTATAATTAGCTATACTTTTTTATCAGTTTATCTTTTCTAATTATGAAAACAATATAATACAATCTATAGAAATACAATTAATGTTATACAAAATGATTTATATTTATTGTAATGTTATATAAAATGATTTATTGTTATTGTTTTTAACTTTACGAACTTTTTTTAACTAAATGGAATAAGATAACAAAGCTTGCTTAACGTCACAAAATGGTACAAACTTATGCCAATTTGTTGAAAAAAATTGAACTCAATTAGAGCAAAGTGTAGAGTTAATAAAAATTTTTTTAATTTTCTCAAATATGGTTCAGTCAAATTATTGAGCTGCGGTTTACGACACAAATTAACACAAACGTAGAGCGATATAGCACAATCAATAAAAATTCAAAATTCGAAAAGTGCACGACTTCCATAAATTTCGTTTTTTTTTTAATTTTTTGAAAAATGATTTAAATGATTAAGCTGCAATTTGCAGCATAAATCAACACAAACGTAGCACAATTAATAAAAACACGAAAGTCAAAAGTACGAGACTAACTTCACATTGGTATTACTGTATGCTAATTTAATATTTCTTTCTACATAAAATTTTAAGTTTTATATACAGATCTCAGAGTGATTTATCTACATGTATTAAAAAGTATGTGTTTTTTTTTTCTCTTTTTTTCTTTCTGCGCAAATGTAACTTTTCTTTTACAAAATTTATATTATGCATTTTCTGGGGAAACTGAAATAATAATAACTGAAATAATAATAATTTTATTCAATTGAAAATGTAAAACAAAAATTTTTCGTATAAGGATTTGTTTCCGAAAAAATTAATCTTAAAATTTGAAGAATTAAAAAAAATAATAGTTCTTTTTTATATAATCTTGAATTATTTTTAATGATCTTGGCATATTTTTTTATCTTGATTGTTAACAATATAACAATTATTAATATTTTTTTCTTCTATAAAAGGCAAGTTATATCAATACTCAAAAGCAATATACTACGAAGTATATTGTTGTCTCTTTTCGATGTTGATTGATTTGTGAACTGCAACTTGCCTCTTGTTATTTGCAGTTCAAATCAGTTATCAATTTTGACAAGTTGTGTAAAATAAAATAAAGTTATCGTTAAAAATGTATATTAAAAAAATAAACGTCATGCGCGAAGCACGCGCTTTGTGTTGTTCTAGTATAAATATAAAAATATAATATTTCATTTAGAAAAACAATTTAAAAAGTTATATTAAAGAAATTATATTTTGATATCACTATCGAGATGAATTTGATAATATATATATATATATATATATATATATATATATATAAATATATAATATATAAAATTATTGGAGATTATTTAAGTTTAAAAGGCATAACATGAACAAGCATGTTATGAATTTTCCAATTTTTAAAATCAGTTTTGTTGAAACAAAATCTCGAAACAAAAAAAATTTTTCACACATTTTCATATAAAAATATTATCTTTTCGATTACATTATTAATTATAAGACATTTTATATGTTTGAACGCTGAAAATCAGTATTTATGCCGTTCATTTTTTTTCAGGTAAGCCGCTATCTCGATGCACCGGACATCATCACAGGCAATACAACACCGATGGATCCTGCCGTGAAACAACGATTACTGCGCCATTTAGATAGCTGCGTATCGGAGTTGGATTTGGATCTGGGCTCGCGGCCCGATAGCGGTCTGGGTAGTAGTCCGGGTAGCGTGACGGACCGCGTGGTAGGAGCGACAAGTCCGGGTCCAATGGATCATCATGTGCCGGTCGGACCGCACTGCAGTGCCGCCGCGCTCACGCCGGCCGGTCTGATCAAATCTGAGATTCCGGATATAGTCGAGGCCGCCCGGCCCGATAGCAGCACTACCGCCGGTGATGAAAACAATAATAGCAGTCGACCGACATCCGCCTTCAGCCAAGTGAATTCGGCGACGTTGGACTCGCATCATCCACATCATCCAACTGGTATACCGGTCGATCAGGCTTCTACGTCACAGCAGAATCCCAACAATATGCTCTCCGTAGTACAGGTTATACCTTCCCGATTGCCGGATGGCCAAGTGGTCTTCCTGTTGCCGAGCCACTACGTACAACTGGCGGCGGCAGCCGCAGCGAACGGAATCAGCATCGGGCCAAATCCACCTACCGCGATTTGGGCGGCGACCAACATGTCATTACTAAAGGCCACTGACAAATTGGCGAAACGACCACATGATGACATCAGCCAGGATTGGCAGGATTCCACTGGTGGCCTTAAGCCCAGTAAGAGTCCCAGAATGGAGCAGCCAGAACAGCCACTTGACTTTACCACCACGTCAAAAAAAATGAAGATTGCCAGTTCGAGGAGTTCGACCGCGCATTCTGGTGGCGATCATCATCATCTACGACAACAGCAGATTTCGGCCCGTTTGCCAACTGAATCTGCTGGCGGTTCCATTGTTCATGAAGACAGGTCGTCTAGTCACGCGGACAGCGAGATCGCCGTTGGCATATCGTCTCCTTCGCCTGTCGGTCAGCAACCCGTTAAAGATGAAGAAGGCATGTGGAGGCCGTGGTAAAAGACTGCCCATGATGGCTCTCTATCTCTGTAAATAAAAATATATCTCGTGGGATAGAATACGCACGAAACCGGAAATCGTACTGGTGTGTGATTGCGTCGTCTATTGCGGAAATATTCCTTGGTTAGGATAAGATTGTGTATATATGTATGTGTATACATACATACATATATACACTCTCTCTCTCAATATGTAGATATATATATCTAGAAAAATGTCAGCGATCGGCCAGTGAAATTGACACATAACATATATGACTGAGAATAATTATATGGAAGTATTTGGATAAATATATGAAAAGTACTTTAATTAAACAGAAATTACACTTTTTTTTAATCCGCTTTTTTTCTTTGCATAATCTTAATATTTGAATAATTTGAAAGAATAGGATGGTTTAATCATAATAGCATTAATCATAATAACATTATCTAATTTTTCACATATAAGTCGCATATAGGATGTTTTACAAAGAATTATAAAATGTTTTTTTAGAAACTTGGTCCTACAAAAAATATTTCAGAAATTTGTAAAATTTTGAGGCAAAAAAGTTGATAATCTTGAATTTTAACTAATTATAAGATCATTTTTCAAGATTATTTAAAGGTTATAATCTAGTATTTTAAATTATCTTAATTTTTTTATAAATCAATTTCATAATATTGTGTATAAAAGATTAATATTAATAATTAGTATTAAACATTAATATTAAAAATAAATTAGTATTAAAAATTAGTATTAAAAAATTAATAATAAATCAAAATAAGCCAAAAATTGAGTTTAAGATATTGAGTTTAAGATATATTTTATACTTTAATTTGACATAATTTTACATCATTTTATATAATTTTATAAAATTAAGATATTTCATAAAATATTCATTTTTATATTATTCATTTTTATATTATCTTGTCTCAATATTTTTACATACAAAATAAGAGAAGAGAATCGATTTGTATAATAAAATTAAAGTGATGTTCCATTTAAAAAAACTAAGTCGATCTTCACAATCTTGAAAAATGACTTCAATAAAAATTCAAAATTATCAACCTTTCTCTCTCAAAACTTTATAAATTTTATTTGAAACATTTTCTATGCAATGTCAAGTTTCGGAGTAAACATCTTGCAACACTATATGAAATATTCTATACATATTCACGACTATAGATGTCTTACAAGACACTAAACACCATACTCATCAATATTTCGATAAACTTTATATATGTTGTAGTTCCACCCTCCCACTAAATCATCTTAAAGTAATACAATGCACCTCTCAAGTATTCGCGAGAAAAACGCATTTAAAGATTTACGTGCATGTTAAGTACCAAACGAAAATATGCGCTGCATGTCGCTGGTTCAAATCTTACTTTTGAAATTTTTTTAAATACTTTTTTTAAATACATTGAAGTTAATTCTATTATATATTTTTATTATTTTTACAGACAAATTAATGTTTTATTTATAAAATATATTTAAAAATTAATTAAATTTATTTGGTATGCAAAAAATTATAAATAATAATTATTACATGCAATGAGAATTATAAATAATTTTTGTTAATTAATTGTAAGTTTTTTATGCAATAAACATTTTAAAAAAGGAAGATAGGCAGAAAAAGTTAATAAGAAAATTTATATCTTTTTTTAATTTATATTTAAAACTCATTGTGTATGTATCAAAAGCTTTTATTTTTAATAATCAAAATATTCACATTTGATCAATTAGAATCAGATTCACAAGAGTGATCACATATTTTAGGGTAATACTTATCAAAAAAACATTCAAAATATAATATATTTTTGTAATAGGCGCATTGAATAAAACTTGGATTTTTACAGGAGCATTTTTTTAATTATTAGTGAGAGACAAATCTCATTCATATTTAAAAATATGGCCTTTCTTATTAACTCTATCTATTTTTCTTTTTATAAAAGATTTATTGCATAAAAAAACTTAAAATTAATTAAAAATGATTGTTATAAATGTTATTGCATATAATAATTATTATTTATAGTTTTCTGCATAGTAAATAAATAAATTCAATTGATTTTTAAATATATTTTATATTTTCAATGTGAAAAAAATATTTCAAAAAAGATTTCAAAAGTAAGATTTTACTAGCGACACGCAGCGTACTAATTAAGCATCTCAACCACTGCGCTATGCCAAAAATCTATTGTTTCTGTTCGGTACTTAACGCGTACGTAAATCTTTAAAGTGCGTGTTTTTCTCACAATTAAGAGCTTTGTTGTATTATTTTAAGGTGATTTAATGGGAAGGTAGAACTACACATATATAAAATTCATTGAAATCTGTGAGTATGCTGCTTGGTGTTTCCCTTGTTAGATTATTTGATAAAATAATATTGCCATTGTGGTTGGAAATTTTCGATAAAAAATTAATTTTTGCGTAATTATATAAAACAATTTACATAATTCTAGAAAGATAAGAAAGATTGTTGTATATATTATATATATATATATATATATATATATATATATATATATATATACAGAGTGTATCTGAAATGATGCACTAAACTTTAGGAACATTTTAAAGGTCAAAATAAGACTTTTTTCTTATAAATATTAGTCCAACAATGCAAATGAACCCCCCTCCGAGTTAAAATTCGAAAATGTATGAAATTGACCAAACACCGCAATGCAAATTTATTTATCTCTCAAGAAATTTATTTATCTCTCAAGAAAGGGTGATAAATAACGTTAAAACTAAAGTCAAATAATAAGGCAATCTATAATACAGCTAATTTTCAATTTTTTTCCCCAAACTTTAGGGACCTCTAGTTCGGAAGGGAGTTTATTTGCGGATCCATGTTTATAGGGAAAAAAAATCTTATTTTGATCTCTAGAATACGCTCCTAAAGTTTAGTGCATCATTTCAGATACACCCTGTATGTACACATATATATATTTATTTATTTATTTATTTTGAATTCACACATGTATGCATATGTGTGTGCATGCGCGCGTACGTGCGTACGAACACGTACCGGCAGGAATAGTTCTTTAGTAGTTGTATATGTGTATGACAATCGAAAAACGTCACATGCACCATGCGAAGTGCACGTACGTGAAACACGGAGAAGAAAATAATAGGAGGCACTCCGATTTTTATTATAATAATTTTTATATTTTATTCTTGTCCAACTATCTTACTCATTCGATACTCGAATGGAGAAAGTGCGAGTAAAACAATTGTAACATATCGCGCTGGCGGGATATCGCCAATATGCCATTATAAAAGTTAATATTATAAGATTATTATAAGAATTTATATTCTTTATTAAATTTCACATATGTGTGCGATTTGCGTATGTGCGTGTGATGTTTTCGATTGTCATATATATATATATATATATATATATATATATATATATATATATATATACCGGGATTCCATTCCTGCTAGTGCGTACATACGTGCGTGCGTTGTGTGTGTGTATGTGTGTGTGTGTGTGTGTGTGTGTGTGTGTGTGTGTGTATGTATGTATGTATGTATATTTATATGTATGCATGTATGGATGGATGGAAGGATGTTCGAGCGCGCGCGCTCGCGTGTGTGTGTGTACATACAACAAAAAATATTCATCTCTAATCTAAAAATACATCTCTAAGCGAAAATACGTGTATACTATAGAAAAGTACTTTTCCAATTAACATAAAACGTTATTCTTAAACAAAAAATAGACGAAACCAAAATAATTTTGTAATTCAATCAGAAATCAAAATTAAGCAATCGGCAAATACATTGAGTAGAGGAAATTAATTAATTTCATTCGGCGAAAAATAGGGAAGCTGAACATTAATTGGTAAGAATCAAAATTATATTGAGTTTCTAAAATGATTATCTATTTTATCAAATAATAAGAATTATAAAAAATATCTTTAAGACACACACATATATATATATATATATATATATATATATATATATATATATATATATATACGGAATTGGGATGTTAAGCATTACTTGTAACGTCGTTATCATTACTTGTTTTCGGCAATCGTTATTTTTTTCTGTCTGTAACAATAATAGTAACATTGTTACACTTTTACAATAACTGTATCGAATTTAAATGTTACTTTTATCGTTACTTTAGTTATCTCTATTTAATAAATCAACATGAGCAGTTGTAATATTAAATAAATGCAATCATATGAGAAGGCGCTATAAACGTTTATCGATGTTTTGAGTCTACAGAATCGATGATCGAAATCACGATTAGCTTACCTGTAATAGAGTGTATCTAATAGCACGATTGCTCACTAAGTAGCAATGCACTTGATTAATCACATTTTATTGCTACTTAGTCGCTATAAAATATATATGATATGTCATTAATACCCGATCGTAATTTTGCAATCCATGATATCTTGATAATTGGAAAATTTACTTCTATTGCAAAATATCTTACAAATATTTTGGAAAATTATACATGCGTTTATATATACATGCGTTTTTCTGTATTGATAAATCTAAAATTTCTAACTTGCAAATGGAAAGTGTAATATGAAACATATTTTAATGTGTTGGAATAATTTAATTATCGAGTATAATAAAAATAATAATTATATTTTTTAAAATCAATTACGCAATTAATTTTAGTATTCTAAAAAGTAACGAAAAAATAACAAAATTGTTACTTTCTTAGTAACGGTAACGAGTTCTGTTCAAAATTGATAACGAGTAATGATAACGAGTTACTTTTTACGAAAAGTAACAGTAATGGCAAAGCGTTATTTTTTAAGTAACATCGATAACGAAAGGATAAGAAACACGACAACAAAAAGATAAGAATCGAAGTACGTACAGGTCAATTTTTCATTATCATGTGACACTCGTCACTGGCACGCCTAGAGCATACAATAAGCGACAGTGATTCTAGGCGGGGCAAGGGGAGCGTAGAACTGGCCAATCAGCCACTGCTGCGCTGCCACGATGATTGGCCAGCTCCTTTTGCCCTAACCTAACCTAACCCCGCCTAGGAATAAATAATTGTCACTTACTGTACATCTTATGGTCTAGCTACGCAGATCGCGCGCGCGCGCTCATTGATCAATCTTCTAAAATTAATATCTCGAAATTTTACGTGATTGTTTACAAAACGATATAAAACTTTTTGAATTAATTCAACGAGATCTACTTGTATTTTCGATGAGACACCTTACATCAAACACTGTGTGTGTGTGTGTGTGTGTGTGTGTGTGTGTGTGTGTGTGTGTGTATGTGTGTGTATTATTTCACTGACTAGATTCTTATTCTCGAAGC